ATATATAAATATATATATATATCTATATATCTATATCTATCTATCTATCTATCTATCTATCTATCTATCTATCTATCTATATATATATATATATATATATGTGTGTGTGTGTGTGTGTGTGTGTGTGTGTGTTGTCTGTGTGTTTTCATCCATATGTATATATATGTATATATATATATATACATACATACATACATATGCAGATATAAATATATATATATATGTATACACACACACACACACACACACACACACACACACACACACACACACACACACATATATATATATATATATATATATATACATACACACGCCCACACTCACACACATTCACACACACACACTTACATATATATAAATATATATTATATACACATATTACGTTAAATATAGACAATATTAATGATACTAAAATCCGGTTCATCGATCCTCATGTAGTCAGGTGGTGAAAATTTACATAGAAATATAGATGAGGGACAAACTATATATGCATAAACACATAAAAAGAACAAAATAGACCAACATTCAATAGCTATGTAACAACGAAAGAAGGAAAAAACAAAATAATAAAGGACAAGTGCAACTGCAGGTGAGCTAGGAGTCCTGGACTAGTAGTAGTCGACTATTACTCGTAGAAGAGCTTGGGATGGGGGCGGTCCATTGACTAGTGCACGTTGATGAGTCGGACTAGGTTAGGAATTGTGCTCCGGTACAAGCCATCAGTGCGAGTCCTGGTGGTCACCAGTTTTTTGGAGGCGCGTAGGGCCAGCTAGCGGTGGCGTGGATGGTACAGCTGCTTCGGGCCTCACTGCTACAGTGAGGTGGTGTAATAAGTGGCGAGGGAGGTGGGGCCTAGGGTGGTCGTAGCTGGTATAGAAAGGACCGAAAATGATCTTGGCTGCATTTTCAGTATCCTCTCGTGTTATAGAAGTTGGGTGGCGGTAAGGGAGGGGGACCTGGCGGGGGAGGCGTTGGTCAGTTTGGGCAGGATAAATAGCCTGTAGATATTTTGAAGCTCCGGAAGTGGGACACCAAGGGACTTGAGGCGACGAAGCATGTGACCTCATGATGAACTGCATCACGACCAATTACTGGCGGTTCATATTAACGAGGTTTGCGGTGGGCCAGGCGAGGGAGCGCTGGATGGCGGAGCGGTCAGGCAGGAACTCTAAATAGCAGCGGCGATGGTCGATTCTTCCATGTATTTCCAACGATATATATATAAGCCTCCGGGCTAGTACAGTGGTAACGTGTCGCCCTCGATCGCAGAGCTCAGCCATTCGTGGAATGCAAAATTACTAGAAGTCATAAATGAATTTTGTCTCTTCCAGAATGTAACAGATCATACCATGATAGGAGGGTTAGATAGACTGTCTATGCTTGACCTAATAATTACAAAGGATGAAAATGACATTAAGGGTACGGAGTTACTGCTTTCCTCTTGGAGAAAAAGTGATCATGTAGTAATGATTTTGAAATACTGTCTGCTACAAAAAAAAAAACAAAAAAACGTAAGTAAGGAAAGAAAAGGAAAGGAAATTATTGAAGCCTTAAAGATTTCTTTGATGGCATAAACTGGGAAACCCTCCTGAACGAAGAGAACCCTGATATGCAATATTCTAAATTTTATAAAAAGTAGTAGAAAAAAAAAATGTATCAAGATTCAAAACTGAAGCAAGAAATGGCCAAAAGTGGTTCAATGATAAATGCAAAAAAATGAGAGAAAACAAACAGCTCCTTTCAAGAGGGTTCAGAAGACATAGATCTCAGGCAGTGTGTGAAAGGTATAAAGTAGGAAGAAATGAATATACCTAAACCATGAGGGAGGCAAAATTAGACTTTGAAAAGGATATAATTAATAGATGTACATAACAACCAAACCTTTTTTTTCAATTACATAAATAGTAATACTAAATGTAGAGATCAAATTAGCGCCATCAAAGATAATAACATTGTTTTTACTATAATAGAGGAAATGTGTGAGATCCTTTATGAGAAATTTCATTCAGTGTTTCTTCAGGACCCATAATTTGAAGTGGCACGTAAAAGTACAATCGTAAATCAGAATATCAAAAATACCACACTCGAAAAGAATGAAATAAAAAACCTACTAGCAGGGTCAAACAAGGCTAAAAGCATCTTCAGTATGCGACATAAAGTTAATTCCGGATTAAAGTTAATCCAAATCGACAGTACTTGCACAAAAGATGCAAGACACACTGCCAGGCGCACAAGTCAATGCGATTATTAGTAAATCTGATGTTTTACATGAAAAAGCGGGTATCTGTGTAATGGCAATTAGCATTCATCCTCTACAAGTTTCATATTATACGCTAATGTCGAGGGAAACATTTGCTACAGAGGAATAAAAAATATATATATACACATGTAAATGGCTATAAATATCCTATAAATATTATATACAACCGAAATGAAGGTGTCGTATGTGATCGCGGGGCATGGGAGGGGTAGTTTTTTTCAGGGTGTTGCAAGCGAGGATCATAACAAATGTCCATGCGGTTTTGAAGTCACTATAGTTTAAATAATCAAGAAGTTTGTACTTTGAGTTTAAAACCTAATCACGATGTTATTAAAAGCTTCCTCTTTTATTCGATTAATATGTTGTATAAGTTGGAAATGTCATCCCAACCTGGAAATAGAATTGTCTTTTCTGTGTCTGTAAACCCTGCAATTCTTTGTGGGATTTTCTCTTTGTTTTTCTTTTCAGTGTTGAGAATTATATCTGCAGTTTGAATATCCAATAACTTATAAAAATGT